TCCATGGCAGAATGACAACATAATGGAATCCAAGCCTGACTTTTCCTGGATGCTCCATAGGAAACCTTGGAGATAGCAAATCCTTTTTGAGGGGTGGCTCTGTGAGTGTGTTGGGGAGCTATTTCTAGAAAAGAATTTGCTATCTCAATGTATTGGTAAAGCTAATGGCCATTTGGTCAACTCTGTTGCCATGGTGATAAAATTCATTTTCTTTTCTTCAATCTTGTCTTTATAAGAACCAGTCAGTTCAATGCAGGATTCGTGAAATGACCACTTCCGGGTTCCCATTTCCGAAAACTGAAACATAACCGTAAAAAATGCTCACATTTTGACACCTGTCAGCGGTAAAAGAAGTCATCCTGTACAAGGAGTGTTGCTTCGATACCTCTAACCACACTAGCTACTAGCTAGATACCTCTAACCACACTACCGGTAGCTAGTAGAGGTGCTTCCCTTGTGCTTCAATAGAGGTGCTTCGGTACTTCGGTTCCGGTGCTGGCCATGGAGGTGCCGAGAAAAGTTGTGGTGCTAGCTAGCTAGACTCAGTACTAGAGGCTACGTGTGACGTCACGTAGGATCCTACGTAGACTCAGTACTAGAGGCTACGTGTGACGTCATTCGGTCTTAATATGCGGTGAAAAGAATTAGCCTGTCAGTGGGTGGATTTCTTCAACCGTCCATAACTCTCCCAATAAGTACACTATGAAGATGAGAATTTTTTGGCTTACTCAGCAACATGTGTTCTATCGATTCCCCTCTTTACATGTACTATATTCGATATACAGCCCTGAAGAGAATATTCCGCGAAACGGTGGGTCGTAAAGCCCAGATCACTCTAATCTTCCACTTTGAGTTTTGCTTCCGGATTGTGTCCTTTCTCATTGTATAACATCTCTCATGCGCGCACCTGCACACCCTACTGAATCCCTGTAGAAATCTCCCTGTACCTCTGCGGATTACTTTTGGGAAACTTTGCCTCCACCCTGCCTGCTTCCCCCACCACAGGGGACTCAGCTGACACCAGTCCCTAGTGGCGGGTGGGCTCCTTTGCCAGACTGCCTGGCTCTGAGAGTATGGTGGGCCAAACTAGCATTAGCACTTAGGAATTCGCAGCATTCAAATGGGAGAGTACCATCCATACTGCTGCTACTGGTGGCGGTGCATGTTGTGTTGGTGGCACCTGCACCAGGAGTAGCACCAGGAACAGCACCAATGAACTGGGTTGCCACCCATCTCATAGTTTCTATCTGCTATTTGGAAAGATGAGTAGCTCCCCTGACACAGCTGTTGCCGCCAGAGACAGCCATGACGGCAGTGGCTTTGCTGGTACCTCGACCAACGACATTTCAATTGCCGGTGAAGCCGCCACAAGGGCCGAATTTGATACTTTTGCTGCTGCCGAGTATGAACAAGATCTCCCACAGCAAGCACCGGATCTGGACGATGAGTTGGAGCTCTCAACCGAGGAGTCGGTACCTCCGCCCGATTGTAAAATTCTGCCAATACTGGAGCTTTATCCCAATATGGAACAAGATCACATTTGCAAGCCATCAGTAGAGAGGGCGATTCGATGCATCGCTCCTCGTTGGGCCAAGTATTGTGGAACGATTAACCAACAGGAGCCATGGGTTCGAAACCATGGTCTACAGTTGTACAGCAAGTGAGAAAACATCAAAAACCACCAGCAATACGATAGGGAGAGACCCGATGGATTCTTTCGGTTTCTTTCGGCTGATCTTCAAGTTGGCAAATCGGTTCTTATCAAAGCTAAGACCTTTGTGAATACGCATCTCAAGTGTGAACATTACTCCTGCCAAAAGGAAGTCAATCAATATGCCGAGTTGGTCCAAATCAAGGTTGGAGAGTCGCTGTCTGTACAGAAAAGTGTGTCTACGGTCACATCCCGTGCAGCAGCTCAATCAATTGACGCATGTGAAGATATCCAAGCCGGGCTTCAGCAGCTCCTAACTCCGGAACAAACTAGAGAGATGGCATTATCTGTATTTCGCGCCCAGCCGAATGGAGCAGTGGCCAAGCTACATCCATTCTACCGGCTTCAGTTTGCCTCTCAATATTGGTCGATGAGTGCCACAACCAGAAGAGGGGAGGAATTCCGCGACCAACATCTAATACAGCGCAATCATACCACCCTTGATGAGATCGGGTTTCGTGGAATGAGAGCTTGCCAAATTGTCACAAATAAGGCAAAGCACAACAAAGATGGCCGCCTGGAGTACACCTACATTATCCCCAACATGGATTCTCTCAAGGATGCAGGTGTATGGTCAGGTGCCTTGTTTCTGTGGAGGCTCAAGGTGGACAATGAAGTATTTCCTGATTTCACAAGCGACAACTACAAGGCCATCTTTGGTGTTTGGACTTACCTGTGTTTAGATGACCGGTCCAAACACATAGAATCTGCCCAATTTTCTACAAACTTTGAGAATTTCTACCATGACAATGGCATTACCTGTGAAAAGGTTACCCATCAACCGCGCTTCCAAGCAATCCAGCAAATGGACCGCCTTGGTTTGAGCTTGCCTGTGCAGCACCGAATGTGTGGACACAAGGGAAAAGAACAGACAGTCCACACTCGGTGCTATGCAAACAATCCACCTACGAAAGGGGTGGTTCAACGGGCCGGCGGCGACTACAAGCAACCCAAAACCTTTGACCCGACGCAATTCATGTTATCCACTGAGGAGTGCCGTTGGTGTGATGACATTTTGAAAGATCTTGTACCCGATTTGGTGACACAAGAACAAACAATCCGAGATCAGTTTAATGCCACCAAATCATACAAGGCGCGCACCGATCGACGGCTACACACTAAACTGGGATTGGTGTCATGTACCCTTTGGGATATTCGACAATTCATCCTAAGTGGGCGCCCTCGTGCGCCTGAGGTATATGGGTTCGTCCTGCCTCAAAATCCTTCTTTGGCATTTGATTGTACTTGCTTTTCTGCCCTGCCACTTTGGCCACATTACTGGCATTATTGTTCGAAGCTTGGGTGTTCATTTTGATTGAAGCAGACAGGTAGAGTAGAGACTTTGGATCGCTGACAAAATGGCAGCAATGTGGCAGCGCAACTTTTGGATTCTCAGTTCCAGCAGTATAGAGGTTGTATAGAGGTTTGTGCAGAGGTTTGTGCAGAGGTTTGGAAGGCAAAACCTCTTTACAGAGGAGGTTTCCATTCAGTACTGATTCCTCCTTCGCCAGCCAGTAAGGCATGTCATTGGTTTCATCCAGCATGATAGATGGTCTGTTGTAGTAGTACCCTCTGTGATGAGTGGTAGCAGTGGATTCCCTGCTGTGGCGAATTTTGGATCTTTTTGGGACTTTTGGGTCCATTTGGTCAATTCTGGGCGCATGTGAGACCTTTTCCCATGGCAAGGGGTTCAATTCTCACCATTTTTGACCGTTTTTTGCACTTTTTCTAATACTTTTTTTGGAGTTTGCCTTGAGTACCGGGTTGGATATAAGAGCTAAAAAGCCCTTAATGCCTAGTACAAGGGGCCCATTTGGTGCTGATGCTGCTGTTGTTGGTGTTCGCGCAATTCCAACATCCACCATGATACTAACCTGGACTTTGGATCAATGTTGTCGACCCTCTACAAAGTAAATAGTAGAGATGGAATACATAAAAAGTGACTAACTTTAGACTCCTAAAGATGCCCTTGGTGGGTGGCCAAATTGACACTGGATGGGATACTTTGTGGAGTCCATTTTCAATACGCCGCCCTAGCGGACAGCGTCTATACCTGGGCCAACTTTGTCGGTGTCAGCAGTCCGCTAGGGCATAACAAAGGGATACACATCGATCTGAGTCCTACCCTCACAGGCACCCACATTGTCGAGTAGCTTCAAAACCACAATTTTCACAACCTGGCTGTCATCATGGTACACCAATCGGTTCATCCCGTCCAATACAAACTTCAGCAGATTGTCAATGTCAGGAACAATCGGTCTCACAAAGGGAACTGAATTCTTCAGAATACCCATCAATCTCCTGTTGGCTTTGAAGTCACTGTTGGGTCGCCTCATCCAAAAGTGCACCTCCACTGTAACTGGCGTACCGGTAGGAAACACGGCTCCATGTTGAGTGGCAGGGACCAGTTCTTGTACAGTCTTTCTGAATGCAGCCTTCACCACTGGCTTTGCATAAGGATGGAGCAACCAAAAACACCAAAAGTGATACCAACTGGGCCTAGCTAGAACCTCATTCTTCCCTCCAAGTGAAACATGACGAAAACACGAAAACAGGTATTCCCGCAACTCCCATGTATTAACACCGGTACTGGTACGGAAAAGTGAGAGCAGAGTTTAAGAGTACTGTACTCAGAGTATAGAGTAGAGGATGGGGTAGCGTGATTTGTCCCTCACAAATTTTCACTTAGGCTAAGTGCTCGAAAATCCACTTAGGCTAAGTAAAACACTTAGCCTAAGCAATACACTTAGGCTAAGCGAAACACTTAGGCTAAGCAATACACTTAGACTAAGCCATACTAAGCAACTCACTTAGGCTAAGCGAAACACTTAGGCTAAGCCATACTAATCAACTCACTTAGGCTAAGCGAAACACTTAGGCTAAGTGATGCTCTTCGAGGCTCCTCAACAGCACAAGTCTCAAGTCTCCTCAACAGCACAACACAACAAGTCCCTGCAACAAGCACACACACAGCCACAAGGAGAGACACAACTATCACCCATCATGCCCCCACTTTCAGCTTCATGTGAACTGCTCAAAGAGCTTCACAAGAAAGAGTTTAATTGGGTTACAACAAAGATTCGAATTCAGGTTGCAACTTCCCTGGAGGATGACACCACTCATACTATTAATCTGGCTTCCACCCTTGGCTATGGTGTGAATAATCCTAAAAACCCAGACGACAGCACAGTCTATTGGCTGTCCAAAGAATTCAACCAAAACTCAAGCATATGGCGCGAAACTATGCTTGGCCTACATTTTATCAAATCATGTCGTGAGCAAGGATTCCTTATCCCAGAACCAAGTAGAGACCACTTGAAATCACATAGCTCGGAACGTCGTTGTTTCCAGGAAGTTGAGTGATATTGTCTGCATTGATAAGGGGAATCTTGTCCAAACAACCAATAACCGTTGGAAAGAAGACATTTTGGAAATCAATATTGTCGTGATATTCCTGGTTGAACAAGCGTCCGTAATGCGTAGAAGGGTCGACCGTCATAGGCTTGGTGCTCTTGGTAGGGATCAGAATCAAAATGCATAGACCTGTAGATGCTGTGATATTTTCTTGTTTCCGCTTTCTGTCATGCTGTTTTGTGTGCTCACGTTGCTTCTCTTTCTTCTTTTCTTCGGAGTCAACAACTGCTCCTATGACATGGTCAATCTCAGACCCAAGCTCAGACTCAATCAAACCATCCTCGCCAACACTATTGCTTTTGTTGGTAGCGTTGGTATTGTTGGATGCACCATTGGCCTGTCCTTGTAAGAGTGGAAGCTCATGGTCGTGATTTGTTTCCATCCTTAACAGTTTTTATATTGACATATCTCAGAGCCAGAGTTTTCCCAGTGCCTTTGAAAAAATGAAATCTGACAGATTATGAGCTGAGAGAAGCTGCCACGAAAAGCATCACTTAGGCTAAGTGATTCACTTAGGCTAAGTGTTAACACTTAGCCTAAGTAATTCACTTAGGCTAAGTGAATCAAATGTGACTGACCACCTGGTAAATCACATAAGACTGAATTTCACTTAGGCTAAGTGGTTCACTTAGCCTAAGTAAATCAAATTGAATCACTTAGCCTAAGTGAAAATTCAATCACTTAGCCTAAGTGAAAATTTGTGAGGGACAAATCACGCTACCCGTGAGTCTGAGAGTCTGAGTGCCACTCCTCATCCAGTTGAAGCAGAGGTTTAATTAACAATCCGTAAAAAGAATGATTTATGAGGCGATTTACCTATCTGTGGGGCGAACGAGGTTCTTCAACATCAAATTGCCTTTGGCTTCACAAGCAAGTTGCGCTATCTCGTCATTAGCTTCTCATTGCTCCTTCTTCCTTCTTGGCTCTGGATCCTTCTTCCTTCTTGGCTTTTGTTTGCTTGCCAGAAGGCCACAAGGACCCAATTTTGGGATTCGAGTCATTCAAAGCTAGCTAGAAAGAAAAGAGCATTTGACCATGAAGGACTGAAAAGCAATCCTTGAGACTTCTGTCGCTGCATCTCTTGGTTCCTTGACCTCGGAAATCTTGGCTGATAAACCTATTAGTTGTGTTGGGGACGCAGACGCAGAGTGCCCGAGAGCGGCGCTTCCTTTGACCGGCTCAAGTACTAGTTCGGAGTGCAGTGCCGGTACTGGCGATGCTGCTACTCACTGCCCTGGTACCCATGTGGCTCAAGATGGTGGCTCCAAGCAAAAGAGCACCATTCCAGATGTTTCCAACTTGGCAGCCGAGGCAGCCAATGCTGCAACTTCAGGTCAGCCAACACCCATTTGCCTGCTCGGTCATCCCGAAACTCTTGGCGACACTGGTCTCCAAGAAGAAGCGTCACCGCCACCACCTAATCCGCAATCTCGCATGAGTCGCATCAATGTACTACCCGGCAGCTATGCTGTGCACGGGCCAGACTTTCGAACAAGTAGTGGCAATGGTAGTAGTTCCTCCCTACAATTTCCACTCAATACGGTGCCCAACGATAGCAGCTATCTGGTCGAGGCAACTCTTGTTGTTGAGGACCCAAGCGACAGCAATCGGGATGATGCTGTCATCATCGAAGCGCGACCAGCAACCAAGAATTTGCCCAAACGAACCATGGCTCTAATCATTGCAGGCATGGCTGTTATCATCATCGGATTGGTAGCAGGACTGGTTGTTGGAGTCGGGAAGGATCCAAACAGTGTTGCCAACATTCCGACCTTTGATGACGAAGAAGGTCTTGAAGAAATTGTCACAGCAGTCTCAAAGCAACCAACGTTACATCGTGTGCGCGAAAGAGGATTCTTGCGGTGTGGCATTACAGGTAATCGACAGCTTGTCGGTTTCTTTGCTGATTTGCTTCTTTCTGCGCAAAACAATTCTCTTGTGCAAAATGCATCAATGTCCATTGGTGTTGCCGACATACAAGGAAGTCCTCGTTTCTTTCAGAGCTATGTAAGTTTGCAAGTTGGAATACGGCAATACGTATGAAAGTCTAACTATGGTTCTCATCATATCTGCCACTTTTCTGTCTGAAGTGTGATGCCATTGCAGCTGGTATTTTTGGCGACAGTACGAAGTCTGAAGTGGTGGATACTAACCCCAGGGAACGATTCCAACAGCTCTCAAACCACTCCATTGATGTTCTCATATCTGAGATTGCGGTCAACATGAAACAAGATATATATGAGGTAAGGGGAGCTTCAGTGCCCATGCATCTTCTTTGGGCAAGCCATCATATCTCACACAAAGTTACTGTTGACATGGCAAAAAAGCCCAATGCAGACAATGGCCTTAGCTTTGCTACTCCTTTCAAGTATTCAGGCATTGTTCTCACAGGGCTTGCTTCTCATGTCCAGTGTGCCAATAGTAATGCACATGCCTTGTCCAGTTGCTCTGATATAAAAATCTGCATCAGAATGGACTATGTTTACAGGAACGAACTGGATCTTCTGCTTCCAAAGAGTCAAATTGTTCATGTAGAGGATCCTTTCATGGTGTTCACAAACTTTACTGGTGGCAGTTGCAATGTTATTGCAGATGGGCAGGACCAGAGACTGGCGCTTCGTCTGTTAGGATTCACCGGTGATTTGGCTGTCAGTGAAAGAATGTATTCACCAATCTGGACATCCTTAGTGACTCTGGATGGTGATCCTGAGTGGGCAGACTTCGCAAATGCCATCACACTGGCTCTGCTTGCAGCTGAGCAGCGGGGAATTACAAGAGAGACTGCAGATCAGATTGGACAGACAAGCTTGTTTGGGCCTGAGTATGAGAATATGTTCATTGATGCTGTTGAAGCACATGGGAACTTTGGAGAAATTTTTGATCTTGGACTGCCAAGGACCCGCAGAGAATATGCAAATAATGGAACAACAGGTTTGCTGGCATCTGCAGCATTGGGTGATGTAGAGCAGCCCATTTCAAGAGAACAGGGTGGCCCACAAAAGAATGCGACACTTGAGATGGTTGCTGCACGAGGGTTTTTGAACTGTGGAGTTCGGGGAGGGCGTCCAGGCTTTGCAAGCTACAATTCTACAAGTTCAGAATGGAGAGGCTTTGACGTTGACTTCTGTATAGCCCTGTCAGCTAGTATCTTTGAAGGGGACACCAGCAAGATCCACTTCAATAATGCTGTAACCATGTCCGGTGGTTTTGGCATGCTACGTTCAGGCACTGTGGATGTTTTTGCAGGTGCCCTATGGACCATTGAGAATGATGTCCGTGAGATGAGCACTGGTGCAGGATACACATTCACTCAGCCATACTTCTACGGTCCAGTAGGTGATGTACGGTAAGCGCATCATGTGGGAGCTGTTCTTGTACCGCCTTGTCTCCTTGTCTCGCATTAATATTTTGATACCCAGTTTTGATGAGAACCTCTGTCTAGCAACCCGGCAAGATGATGCACTGTGGTCAGCATATGTCTACTGGACTGCACAGGCTGTAGTGTATGCAGAAGAGAAGAACATTGCCAAAGGGACTTCCAGCAAGATGCCTCTTGTCTACTCTTTTGGGGATGACTTCCAACGCATGTTTCGGGATGCAATCCATGCTATTGGAAACTATGATGAAGCATATACTCGGAATCTAGTCAACATGTTGCCTCGTGGAGAACGCAATATGCTGAACTTGCCACAAAATGATAATCCTTTGCGGTACATCCCACCTGGATTTCCAAGGGAAGTTTAGATTAGAATCCCAACTCTGTAAAAAATCTTCTTCAGGCAATCTGCTTTAACGCTAGCTTGTCCATGTAGCTTCAACGCCGCTATCTGTTTGCTGTTTACCTTTTGAAGCCGGTGCACCCCTCCTGAAAAATCAACAACCCTCCATCTATTGCCGGCAGCTGATTCAGACGAGTAGTGATTACTTACAATCTGAGGCCTTGGTATTTCCCACACTCGAGCCCGCCTCCCTGTGGTTCTCTGCCAAGAATGCAACATTGGAGGTCTTGTGGCGCTAGAGCTCCCAGAGGACCCACCCCGATCGCGTACCAGCACTGATTCAATCTATCGAGACATACCGGTACCGGTAGTGTACTGAAGCCAATAAGGCTGGTGCGTTCGCGTTATGTACAAGTTCTTTTATTAATTAATATGTACATTGTTGGATTGTCGCTTTCGAAGAGTTCGCTCATCCTTGCAACATCATCGAAACAGCAGATGCCAACTTGGCCGCCACGGGTCTTCCCACCAGTCGCTCTTCTGCCGGCACCTTGCCTCTCTTGGTCAGCACGGAAACAACTTCTTCTCCATCTTGTGTGGCGACCACTTCCAACACTTCGGGGGTTCCATTCATGACCCCACGACTGGCTCCGACATCGACCCGCCACGCCTTTCCATTGAGTGCGGCATTGATCTTGCGTTGCACGGTATGCCCCATGACCATTCGGTCCGCTTGCAAGTGGAACAATGTCCCGTCGAGCATTTGCTGTGCCCTTTCCGCATTGTTTGGTTCCACGTCATTGGGCGACGAGTAATCTCTCATCCAAACAGGACCATCGGCCCCGGCACCTCCACCCAACAATTCGGGCATTCGTTCCGATCCCGTCTGAGCGCGCTTTTGCACATCATAGACCAACGCCCCAATGGACTCGTAGTCACCGAGATTGTTGTTGGGTTGGTAGGCTGTTGTTGCATCGCAAGAGAGAGCAAAGATGTTGAGTCCACGACAGAAAACAGAGAACAGCTAGTTTCTAACAAATCAAGTAAGTAAGTAAGTACACATCATACCTTGCTTCATCCAGTTTTGCACTTGTTCATTCATTCCTCGCAGACCCCCGTAATCGTCCAAATGTTGTGTGGTCAATCCCGCATGCACGCAGACGGTTCGCCCCACCTTGACGGCCACCTTCATATTGGACAGCAACGGATGTGCCAAGACACCACTACCGGGTTCGTAGGCGGCCCATCGTGCGGGTTGATTGCCGGCATATTGCATCCTCCATCGTTCCGTTTGTAATTGCTCGTCAATGCGTTTGCCAATGGCGTTTTCGTATTCTTCTTCACCCATGGTGTAGTGGAACATGCCGCCGGCATTCATGGCTTCGTGGTTGCCCCACAACAAGACGACGTGTCCTCCTTGTGTGGCCGCTTGTTGGGACAATCGTGTCAGTAGGTTGAAACAGAGGAGTTCCTGGTCGCCTCGATCCAAGACATCTCCACACTGAACCAAAATGGTATTGCCACCTATCCATTGATTTTTGTGCGATGCATTGGCATCGTAGACACCTCCAATGGTCAAGAATTCCTCCAATGCTTTGAAATCTCCATGAACATCTCCAATACAGACCAGTCGTTGTCCCGGTTCCAATGGCAATTCATCATTTGTCGGAGAAACTAAATGATAATCGTCTTGTTCATCATCATCCTGTTGTTGTTCCAAGTGGACCAGATGACTCAGTGGTGCCGTTCGAATATCGAGATTGGCAGCCGCCGACAAGGGGGCCATCGGACTGCTAGTCGTTGACGAAGTGAGAGCCGTTGTCTGCAGAAAGGCAATCACGGCATCCCTCCGAGTGGCCGAAAAAGCCAAAAGCACCAAGGATTTCTTCCAGACCGACGACTTGGGGTAGATCATTGTCTCTTTCTTCTTCTTCCGATTGTTAATGCTCTTCTTCTCTACCAGGTACTCAGTTCTATCCAAAGAGAGGCCAGTTCTATCAAAAAGAGAGGCAAGGTGGTCCCTTCCACTGATACAAAATTTTATGGTACGACAGCCAAATCTTTGGTACGTTGCCCGCAGTATCGTAGATAAATTTTGGATTCTTCCAGTGATGTCAGACGGCAACTAAAGTGAGAGATGGAATGGAATGATGGATGAATCAGAGATCAGAGAGGAGAAACTGTAGTGGTATGACATCTGTCCCTTCCACTTTTTGATATCCTTTTTGGACAAGGTCAAGTTGGCCACATCAGCAAGTTGAGTTCTATTGGTTAGAGTATTCTGGATGGGCAGCTGCATTTCCTGTTGGACAGCGAGTGAGTTGTTGTTCCATTATCCGGTCGGTAGCGGGCAGTTGGTGGCGCTGACGTGGTCTTTCCGAAGTGATGTCAGAGATTAACCTTTTGTAAACAATGAGAATCAGTTTAGGGATATTGGTATTTATCCATCGCGTCACAGGAACCACAAGCAAGGAAACAGCCAACGAGCGCCGACAAGCGGCGCTCGCCTAGAGCAGCACTGCACGACTAGTTGAGTAGAGTAGGGTGGTGGAGAGACTCGGCCATTTACTGAGCCGACCGTCTCCGCTACCCAGGGGTGCCGCTCGTGATTGCTAGAATCGCGAGCGGGAACCAAGGCACGAATGGGGCAGTCCCGCGGGGTGTGAGTCCCGCGGGATTGTGCGACATTCGGCCAACCCAGGGAGGGAGAGGTGGGTTAATCTATTCTAGTTCTTGCTTGCAGCTCGGCTGAAGGAAGAATTGTGAGCAGAGAAGGAGACAACCTTCTTGCGATCGACTGTTCAATGGCTGAAAGAGAGAGTTGGACCGGTCTTGCATGTTGTGTTCATTCAAGGTTGCTATCTGTGAGCGGTCTTCGAGGGGTGCTATTGCCATTAGAGGCCGATCTTGCGAAGGAGGCAGACATAGCGACATGTATGTGGGGTACCTGCATTTCGGAAGGCAGGTTATGACCTGAGGAGATGTAGTGATGTACTTGTATGTGTAGTGGCGAAGTGTGGGAATCGATTTTTCGTGTTTTGTGAGATGGTACCGTTTGGCAACTGTGAGTCGAGTCATTCGTCGAAGACCCCATGAGGGTTCAGGTTTCGTGGAAGGATGGGGATAGGAATTGGTTGTCCTCTTTTGCGTTGCGTGCGGCTGCTCGACACGAGCGCGACAAGCGGCGATCGCCTAGAGCAGCGACATGAACGACTAGTTGAGTAGAGATAGGTAGGGTGGTGGAGCGACTCGGCCCATTTACTGAGCCGACCCATCTCCAGCTACCCAGGGTGCCGCTCGTGATTTCTAGAATCGCGAGCGGGAACCAAGGAACGAATGAGGCAGTCCCGCGGATGTGAGTCACGCGTGACGTTGTGCGATCTCGGCAACCCAATAGCCAAAGGCAGAACAGGGGTGAGCGTAGCGGGGTGGGAAAGGTTGGAGAGACCAGAGAGGAAGCAAGGTCTCTCGGGAAAGTGATTGGACTAAGGGAGGTTAGTCCTCGTAGAGTTTCCCG